CTACAGGCAGAGTGTATCATATCTAAATGTATTCTATTGGGCGTTAGATATTTTAGTAGCAATTTTCTTAGACATGTATAAGATTTACAAAGTTATAATTTTTTAATTTTTGATTTAAAATTTTTTAATTTAATTAATTTAATAAACTGACGTTGTCTAGTCTATCTTCCTGTAATTGTATTTGGAATGAAAAAGTATACTAAATTAAAGTTGAACGTTCGGTAAAATGCTATTTATATCTTCATTGTTTCTGCTAAATACGGGAAACAATTCAAGGCTGTTTGTATGCTAGTATGCACTGAGGCAGTTAGTTAGCTCTTTAAATAAAAGTTTTAAAAGTTGAAAATAATTTTACATCAAAGCATGGTTAGTGTAGACTTAAAAACGAATTCAGTGGTAAATAAATCAAATATCAAACAACGAAATAAAGTAAAGATTAAACGTGTTTTTTTTTCGGCAATGCAAGTCAGCAGATAGCAAAACAAATATCTAACAATAAATCAATTTATTCAATGCATGGCAACACAAGTATGGAACAGTAAAAGAAAGCAAAAAAGACAATCAAAGGATAAGAATGCGTATTTCAAATTATGCGAGGAAAAATAAGAGTTTAACATGTTAAAATGTTTATAAATGTTCAACTAATAAACTGATATTTACCTTGTAGGCAAGAAAAGTATTCTGGAAAACCCAACATCAAATTGACTGGCTGCCAAAATGCTGCCGGAAACCAAAGACACACGATAGCCAGCCAAGCCTCTATGTCCACACGAACGGCTTAATGTCTGCAGCCCCAGTCCCGTCCATCAGTGGCCATCATAGTGTGGGTAGTCCTGTCCTTCCTACCCCTACTTCTGTTACTTCCTTGTCCTCAGGTATACTTCCTACCTTTGCACACGTTTGTTTTGTTACTGCATTTTGATACATTAAAGCACCCCTCTTTTTCTTTTATCTCTTTACTCTCACTTTGTGTAAGGTTTATTAATTTGATGTTTTAGACTTTCTCTTATTTAACTTTTTGTTCATTTTTTTGCATGATCGACAAAATATTATTTTTCTTTAAACTTTATCCTTAGGATATTAATCGATCCTTTTAATTTTATAAGATAAGGATATACATCAGGTGTTAAAAATGTTTAATAATTAATTTGTATATCAGACCTTGTAGTCGCCTCTGAAAATTAAGTTTTATTGATTTATTTGTTTCTTAAAAATATGGATTAAAATTAACACTAACATATTAAATTTCGTCAGATCATTTTCCATTGCGCATCTCAATAAAGTTATAGTAAAGACATGTTTTTTAAAATAGATTATGGAATTTGGGATTGAATTGAGTGGGTTACATAAAAATTGCTACACGTCACTAATTCTGTGTCGGGACGTTGTTTTGAAGCATAATTCTCAGAAGATTCAGGCCTTTTTAAAATATGGTGATAGAAAAAACAAGGCATTATTTGTCGCATTTTTTGTTTCACCTCAATGATGTTAAGCCCGACAGATTTTGATTTGATTCTAGTATTGACTTCGTTTAATTACGCCCTCGAAAGCAGTGATTAATTCACATATCGATTTGATTCTAGTATTGATTTCGTGTAATTACGCCCTCGAAAACAGTGGTTAATTCACATATCGATAAATAAAAAAACACCAACTATTATTAAGACATTTTGGCTACTTTCTAAGAAAACCCGATATTCGAATTATGGGAATCTTACAACATGGCCTTAACTATGTGTATTTAAGAGACTCAGCTTCTAACTTAAACCATTAAACCTTGACGTAATAGGTCTTTGTTATAAATACATATATTGGTGTCAAGAAAATAAAGAAATTAATTACACATAATGGTGGATTTATTTTATTCTCTACAACGAAATACAAAAGATTTGACACACACATATATATATTGCACTCCTTTACCACAAGGACTAATTATAAAACGAAGAATTTCATAAATAACATCTTTGAGTCTCTTGCAGGTTTTTATTTTTTAAAAATTGTTTTCGAGAGCAATTAATTTTATCTGTAAGTGTCAAATATAATTTATAAAAGTCAAAATCTAAATTATGTGGCTGAGATCTAAGATATCATTACTAAATTTGGTTTTGTTTAATTATCTTACACCTGAGTAGTCTTTTCTTTGCTACAGGCACCAATGCCACATCGATATGTCTGCGGACTTATAACGTTAGAATCCGGGTTTCGATACCCGTGGTGTGCAGAGAATAGATAGCCCATTGTGTAGTTTAACTTCAAAGAAATAAAATTTCTTTGCTGCAAAATAAATTGAATTAGATAACCATATATATATATATATATTTAATTTAGCAAACCAATAACCATAAAATGATTCCGTCATAAACCGTTAGAGGTAGGAAAAAGTGTGTTTGGTTAAAATAAATGTATACATATATCATGTTTTTTTTTATTATCCAGTCTGAATAGTAGTACTAAGTTAAATTAAATCATGGATGATATTTTACATTCCAATCACACTTCAATTAATTCCATATTTACTGTCTTGCGATAAGCTGCTCATGGACCGAAACCGGGTAAACATATCTCTTTCCGAGTAAATTTCAAAAAAAACTTTTATTGGAATAATGTGTAACATAGCTTTAAAGATACAGTAAAATAGTTTCATACTGAAATGGTTTATCAAGTCATCGGTCAGAAGCAAAGGATATACACTAGTATTTATGAAGTTTATTTATAAAAAAACTTCACTAAAATTTGAATGCTAAATATACAAAATTGTTATCTTCATAGAAAAAAATCGTACCTATATTTTCGATTGAATCAGGATATATTTAAAATTTAAATAAATTTGAATACTTGCATAGCAATTATAACCAAAACATCAGATTGAACCATAATGTAATACATCCATTGGTCGTAAAATACGTATATAGAAAGCGTTAACTTAAACAAAATAGTAGATATCATCACTTTTTATGGTGATATTCCATGGAAAAATATATATATTGTAGTTAATAACTGGATCATATGAAATTCAAATGATAAAACGTTTATTATTTCTGGTATTTCACGTTTAACTCATATTTTTCATAATTAATTTATTACACTTCATATCAATCGTGGCTTAATGTTATTGGGTCAGTAGGTCTAAGGTTCAAACTCAGATATGCCGGTGAACACGCTCCACACTTTCAACTGTGACAGTCATCTCCCTATTCAGTTACGAGTACTCGTAGGCGGCGGATGTTAATGAACGGTCATCATCTCTAATTTAAGAAGGATTATACCTAAATAATAAGGTTTTTTGACCTGTCCACTTAGCCCAACTGTCGCTTAAGGTACCATTCGGAGTTGAATATATCAAATACCAAAGTACTCTTCACGTGCAACTTGTGTGCTTTAAAAATCTTTTGAAATAAACAATAGATTAATAATTATCGTTACCAAACGAGACGATTTAAGTTAAAACTTCAAGTCTGTGTAACAGTCTAGGGATATATCTTTTAAGCAGGTTTTGATTCTAAAGAATTGAAAAATGTTTCATAATTGATTGCCCCCCAGTGGCACAGCGGTATGTCTGCGGACTTACAACGCTAGACTCCGGGTTTCGATACCCGTGGTGGGCAGAGCACAGATAGCCCTTTGTGTAGCTTTGTGCTTAATTACGAACAAACAAACAATCATGATTGATTATGCCTATACGTTTGCTTTAATATTTAATTAGAATAACAACAATCATCGGATTCTTCATGCCGAGTAAAAGGATATATTGTTAATGACGATTTGATAGTATTGGTTATGTAAAGCTCAACTGTGGAAAGAAAAAAAATCCCAATCATAGTGCTAAGAGTAAAGTTGATATAAGTAATAAGTTTCAGTTTCACGTGAAATGGGAATAATACTCCTGTGAAGCGGAACGTGATTTTCGTGTACTCAGTGAAACTTTCAACGTTTTATTATTAAAGAAAATGGATAAACTAATCAAGAAAGTAAGATGTAGTCACGATCGATTTTCGTCGTTCGTAGCTAAATATCAGACATAATACACAATCTTGTTAGAAATTCTAAATATATGCGTTTCTTCTTAACATCTTTCAAATTGTTGCCAAGATCCGACGGTACAGACAACGCTGTATTATAATTATGTAAATTAACATGTGAGTGAAAGAGAGAACAGGAGGAATTAAAATTCCTGTGAAATAATGATAATTGTTTTGGGTAATGAGATAGTCGTTAATTTTATCCTCTTGATGTGAATGCTAATGATTTGCTGTTTCCATTTCATTTGCTTTAGAATAACAAAGCATTTCCGCATTAAAGGCATATCTTTTTCGATCAAAGTTATATCCTGAGGGATTTCGTCATCTCTACATTAGCATATATAATTGTTGAGGATAAAAAGTTACCTTAAGTAACTTATGCAATTTATAGTCCATGTATTCGTTATAGAAGTAATTCATATCTTATCAGGGTCGTTTAACTGTACGGGAAAAAAATAATATTTATTAGCGTCAAAACATTTCGGATTAAACAGTTTAGATAGGAAACAGTGCAATATAAATATGGGTTAATTATCAAAACGAAAATCATTTAAGGTATTGGGATTGTTCAGTATGTTTTTGATAAAAGCCATCTTGTGAGATTTTCTGAAGACGTCTTCCAGAGCCATTCGCTTTCGCATAAGATACTTATTTCAAATGTGCTTCTCTAAATTGTTTGGCCGTAAACAGTTAGAAACTAATTTATCTTAAGATGTGTTTTTTAGGTCTGGTTGAAAATATTTACGAGCTTTATTTATCATATGTGTATTAAAAAACAAAACAAAAACAGACTTCATTATTGATTCAAAAATTGGTTCATAACACTTGTTTCATCTTATAATCGAAACATCACAAATGATGTATAGAGCTATAAAATCTACTTATTTCAGCTTCTTGTTTTTAATTTCAAAATACACATAATAGGATATAAAGTTCATTAATTATTATACAGTTCAATAAGGGAATTGAAAGAATGGAAATAACTACCATGTTTATGTAAGGAATATGCTATTCGCCTGAACAAAAAATTTAAATTACTAAGTAGAATATTTATATTATGGTGTCTGAAATGATATTGCGAATGGTGGCTCACATATTTAAAACTTTAAAAAAATTCCTTTCAAGAAATGTGGCAGAAATTATTCGCAATAATAAAACTGGGGTAGGTTTTTAAGAACACAATCCATTGGACCATTGGAAACTGATGTAGTTTCAATGGAACGTCTTATGACACTTTCTGCCATGAAATAATTAATCCAGTTTTGTTGTTATCTACATTATGTAATTAGTTTAGTCATCATAAACTGATCTTGAGCTGTCATGGCTTATAAATTCTATTGTTGACAAAATGAACACCTCAGTAATATATGCTTATTACTAAGAAAGCAAACTTCTTTTACCTGGATTACTCTCAAAGTGTCAATTGAAAAGTTTCTGAACTTACAACGCTAAAACAAACAAATAAACAATTGGAAATATAATTTCTGCATCAATCATCTAAAATCAACAACTGTGATTTTGTAACGACCTAAAGGATTAATTCTTTGTAAGAGTCAAATACCGTCAATGTGAAAACTGTATTGGGACGTATTACAACAAGACGATATGTGGTAAATATTTCTATAAGTAATAATATTAATCACACGAATTGTCTATGAAAAAAAGCATAACCTGCTGTCATTAATTCGAGAACTCACTGATTAAATCAGTATAAAATGGTTGCATGCACACATACTATTGTAAAATGTCGTACAAGAAGAATAGTTATTTTTCATTATTAGACATCACTACGCCTGGTGGAAATGAAGGATAAAAATGTCATACAATAAGAATAGTTATTTTTCATTATTTGACATCACTACGCCTGGTGGAAATGAAGGATAAAAATGTCGTACAATAAGAA